CCCCAAGCAGGCTCCGCACTGTTAGTGCAGACCCTGACACGGGGCTCAAACCCACAAACCATGAGATCATGACCTGAGCTGAAACCGAGAGTTGGACGCTTAACTGACTGAGCCACCCAGGCGCCCTGTGATTGCATTTTCTTATTAACATGAAAACAACTGGAAGACTCCAAAATATCATCATTGAGAAACAGAAATCCCAGACTTGGAAAGCATCTTAAAAGGACATCTAATCCAAACAACATTTTAATGACCAACGTCCAGGCTGGGGGAAATGGGTGAAGGTGGTCAAAACGTACCAACATGTAGTTATAGAAGTTCTTTAAAAAAAATTTTTTTTAAGGGTGCCTGGGTGGCTCAGTCAGTTAAGCGTCTGACTTCGTCTGGTCATGACCTCATAGTCTGTGAGTTCGAGCCCCGCATCAGGCTCTGTGCTGACAGCCTGGAGTCTGGGGCCTGCTTCAGATTCTGTGTCTCCCTCTCTCTCTGACCCTCCCCCATTCATGCTCTGTTTCTCTCTGTCTCAAACATAAACAAACATTAAAAAAAAACTTACAAGCAAATTTTTTTAGTGTTTATTTTTAAGAGAGACAGAGAGCGTGAGCGTGAGAGGGGCAGAGAGAGAGGGAGACACAGAATCCAAAGGAGGCCCCAGGCTCCGAGCTGTCAGAGCCCGATGCGGGGTTTGAACTGACAAACCGTGATATCATGACCCGAGCCGAAGTCGGACACTTAACCAACTGAGCCACCCAGGTGCCCCTGTAGTTGTAAGTTCTGAGGAGGTGATGTACAGCATGGTGACTACAGTTAACAATACTGCGGTGTATATTTGAGAGCTGCTGAGAGTAGACCTTAAAAGTTCTCATCACAAGAAAATAAGCTGTAACTACGTGAGGTGATAGATGTTAACTTACTATAGTAAGCATTATGTAATATATACAAATACTGAATCATTATGTGGTACATCTTAAACTTATTCAATGTGATATGTCAATTAATAGCTCAATAAAACTGGAAGAAAAGCAAAGATCAATGTCCAACAGCCTTTGGTAGTCTTTGTAGAGAAGTAGGGAAGCCACCAGAAATATCTCTCCTGCCAGCAGGCCTTGCCAATGGCTCTGAACCTCTTGGGTGAGGCCAGCCAGCCAGTCTATGCTTTTCCATCTGGCAGAGAAGGCCATGAAAAACTCTTTTGTTAGCCCAACAGGGAAAGGGTCACCCTCTGGGGTCTGTGTTATCATGATTAATAGGTGCCACATGGAGGCCAGGCACATTTGGCATCGTGCAACATTTTAGCAGGCTGTTTCTGCACAGTGAAGGTCTGCCATGGGACCTTTAAATGTTTATTACGTCAGCCTCGCCCCAACTCAGAGTTTTACATATAGACACAAAATATTTTTTTAACATGGTTTTAATACATGCTAATTTCCTAAAAAGGGAACTTCTATGCAGATCACAGGAAGATTATACTTTGTTTTGTTCAGATCAGATTTTTACAAAGAGATATTGACCGTTTCTGACAACCGCATCACCAAGAGTGATGCTAATACATCTGACAGTCTACGCTTGTAGCAGTCCGCATTCTAGGTGATTCTACATATTAGTAATAGCTTCTGATAACTTCATTATGCCTTCCAATATGGTCATAACCAAATATTTACACATGAGAATAAATTTTATTATCACACTTAAAAACCTCCTTTATATTACAGTTATAGCATTTGTATGTATATGAATGTGTACATACCTGTACACACATACCTGCACACACACATGTTGTTTTCTAAAAAGTAATGCATATGTTTATATATTTTTTTTTAACTTTGTTTTAATGTTTATTTTGAGAGAGAGACAGACAGACAGACAACAAGCGGGGAGAGACAGAGAGAGAGGGAGACACAGAATCTGAAGCTGAGTGGTCAGCACAGAGCCTGATGCAGGACTCGAACTCAAGAGCTGCGAGATCATGACCTAAGCTGAAGTCGGATGCTTAACCGAGGGAGCCATCCAGACGCCCCTGTATTATTTTTGACTGTAAGTTCAGGACAATAGAAAGAACATTACAAGATAATTATAAAACTGGAAGAAAAACAAAGATCAATGAACCTGATGAGATGAACCTGATGGAGTGGAGACCCTTGGCCTAAAGTCTCCTGTTCTTTGTGAATCTGTGTTGAAATTCTTAGTACTTCTCACTGTTTGAGGTATATATGCCACCCCTCTGTCAGAATATTCTAGAATCTGGTCTGGAATCAACATGGACTAGTTTACAGAATTCTCTTTTTTTCCCCCAGGGAAAATGTCTCCAGCTTCTGATATTTTTCTTGTTCTCCACAATAACTCAAAAATGAATGTATGAGGAATTGCATCTGCAAATATTCTCAGGGCCCTTGTATGTACCTCTTCTTGGCCAGGAAACCAGAGCACATTCAGAGAAGCAATGCCCTCAATTCTCCTGTCCAACTAGGGAAGTGGCTTCTTATTAAGTTTTTGTTTTGTTTTAAATGCACAATTAAGCCATTAACTGAATATGGAAGTAGTAACATGAATATAAAGCTCGTACCTAGGAAACAAAATATTTCTCCTGGAAAAGCAAGCCTATGATGCCAAAGGAAAACAGAGGATAGTGACACAGATGGTGACACAAAAGAGGTGTGCAAGTGCAGAACTGGGCTGGCCCTGAGCAAAGGGCGAGCTCAGCCACTCGGGTCCAGGTTCGAGAAGCTTTGCTTGCACTTCTGCAGGCAGCCCTCTCCTCCCAACTTTGTCCTGATGGGTCGGACAGGGCTTTGGTAAGAACAAGCAAAGAGGGGCGCCTGGGTGGCTCAGTCGGTTGGGTGTCCGACTTTGGCTCGGGTCATGATTTCATGGTTCATGGGTTCATGCCCCACGTCAGGCTCTGCGCTGACAGCTCAGAGCCTGCAGCCTGCTTCAGATTCTGTCTTCGGCTCTCTCTGCCCCTCCCCTGCTTGTGCCCTGTCTCTAAAATAAATAAATATTTAAAAATTTAAAAAAAAAAAAGCAAAGAGACAGAAATTGTGTTATACTGTGTTATAACATGAGCATACTGAGAGGTGGTTGACAGTGAGATAAAGGGCCCCTAGAGTGCCATCACCTCCACTCCACTGTCCACTCCTTAGGCCTTTTCTCCCTCCAACTTTCAGGGACAAAAACAAACTGGCAGAGTAATAATGTCAGCTCCTGGAAGTGTTGATTTCCCAGTGGGAGGCACTGATTTCACTAACATTTACCTGCCTATTTCCTTGTTATCTTCTTGGACATTTCACACTGCAGTCTTCTAACTTTGATTTATTCTACATATCATGAAATTAATCTGAGAACTTAAATGCCGGAACCAGAACAAGTTGGGTAGGGGTCCTCCTCAAGCCATGATGAAGGGTTCACCTGTGAGTATGAAGCCAAATAGAAAAGTTTTCAAAATTATCTGAGGACCCAACTCAATTGTAAATGGCAGTGTGAAATGAAATTGACCAGAAGTGACCACCCTCAGGACCAGCCTGCACTTTGCCTTTAACCCCGGCTCAGCTCTCACCAGATGCCTGCTCCTGTGGAGGGACTGGAGATGAGAGGACGAGTCCAGGATGAGAGGATCTCATCTCTCCAGGATGAGAGGACGAGTCCAAGGGCTTTCAAACTCCAGTCATCTCATAACTTTAAAAATCCCACCTCTGACCCCTGAAAGGGGAAGAACTGGACTGTCCCTCCAATCAATATGATAATTTACAAGGTTTTATCTGCACTCTCAGCCAACACAAATGATTCCCAGTGAGTTAAGACACAAGGACCCTCTAGCAGCAAAACAACTCC